CTTTAAAAAAAAAAAAAAAGCCAAGAGCATGCCCAAAATGTACTGAGAACATGAAATCAGTCCTCAGGACAAATTAAACCTTTAAAAATAGTAGCAAAACCATAGTTCTCGCTAAGAAATATGTATGGGGACTGTAATCAAATATAGTCATAGATCAACAAAATAATTCTACCTGACTCTAAAGAGGAAGCCTCCTAACATGATGCTCAGATTCACTTCTGTGTATCTGCTTATGATTGAATAAAAAGATTATAATTTTGCCTCCCTCATTTAAATGGAAGACAAAAAATTATAAGGCTTCAGATACACAAGAAAGTAAGGATCCCAGGCCCCAGCTTTCCTGAACGACATCACCCAAACCTCCGGTTACCTGGACAAGGCACTGTAACCATGGGAACCCTCAGTCTGCCCTGTCCCCATTCCACCACATGGCACATGTCCCTGGCTGCCCACATAAAGCCTTTTCTCACCGTAATAACAGAGGGAATTACTAAAGTGGTAGCAGCACGATGGTATGCACCTCAAAGATGTCCACAAGGAAGACCACCCCCATGTAGAACACTTTCCTTCACCGTGTCAATGGAGAATCTGATCATACTGTGTTTTTAGCAAAGAGGCTCTATTTCCTCTCTGCCAAGCTCTCAATGAACGCACACACGCATGCACGTGACTGCTTCAAAAAGGGAAAGTGAGCAAAGAGGCAGGAGCAGGGAAAAAGAAAACAACCCACTTTGAAGAAAGAAAAACAGAAGGTGTGAGTTCCCGCCATTTGGTAATCTGGAAGAGGAGCGGGTCTAGTGCTGCGTGAGCTTCAGGCCACACATCTGAGTGAGATACCTCATTCTGTTCAACTATGGATCTTAATATGTTTTTCTTTCAAAACTGCAGTGATTTTTGCACGGAGTTAGTGGTAGATTTTTAACTGTTTCAGTGCCATAAGTAAAATCCTCGTACTTCTGAGCAATAATTTTTTTCCTATTAATTAGTCTTCTTTCCTTTATTTATTTTATTTATTTATTTTAAGTGCATGCTTGTAGTACATGATGTTTGTATTACCTGGGGGAGTACATGTATTTTGAGTATGAACTTATGCTAGGCTTCTAAAAAGAGAAATATAGGCATTTCTTCATCTATAGCTGAACACACTTTCTTATTTAAAATAATGTTTTTTTAAAGACCTTAAGAAATAGATGAGAATCGACTAACATATAACTTATCAGAGGGACCAACAGAATTCTATTTCCAAAACACAACCTTCAATATTTTCACAAAATAAAAAATGTCACAATATTTTAGGACACTGACGAATGCTATAAAGAACAAACAAAAAGAGATCCACAAACCCACACAGACCACTCAGCTGCTGCTGAAATCCTGATGTGATTTTTTAAACATATGTAAAGATATAATTGTGTATAATTTTTTACTTTATTAATAAAACAAGGGATTTCCAATTCCCAAAAATACATATAATTAAGGATGCTACAAATCGACAAGTTAGTTTTTGTTTGTTTGTTTGGTATTGGGGATTGAACCCAGGACTTAAGCATGCTAATCATGTACTCTGGTACATGCCTGTAATCTCAGCACTTGGGAGGCAGAGGCAGAGGCAGGAGGATGGATCACTACGAGTTCAAGACCAACCTAGGCTACATAGTGAGTTCAAAGCCGCAATGAACTACACAGTGAGATCCTGTTGAAGGAAGGAAGGAGGAAGGAGGGGAAGGGGTGAAGGAAAAGGAAGGAGGGAAAGGAAGTCATGTTGTGCCTTCAGTAATGTTAACTTTTTTACTGTATGACTCCAATGATATGTTTCTTTAATTTAGAAAAAGTATTAGTACACATTTACTTTCCTTGTGTATACTTCGTACATGTACATAACACATCTTAATTCATAAAAGGATTCCTTTACATAAGGTTCTACTTTGGAAATATATATGAAGTTAAGTTCAGTAGCCAAATGTAATGACACATCAACAAGGCAATCCTGTCTGATACTAAAAGATAAAATCTCACAGCATGACGTTCACACCCAATTCCATGTAGTTTTAAAATTAAAGGGAAATGGAAAGTTTGCCCAATCCACTTAAATGGAAGACAACAAATTAGAAGGCAACAGTTATGCTTTGGAAACATTAAATATCCTACCTTAGTTTTAAAGCATTACATGCTGGTTAGTCTCCACAGTCAATGATCAGAGACTTTGAACTAAAAACTGCCCATAATTAAGCATGATATGTCTTTCTAATGGAAGTACCTCCATGCGGCTGGAGTTTTAAAATCGAAACCCCTGGCAGCATGGACAGCATCTCACAGACAGGGTGTGTCTTTCCTAGGGACTGCCTTTCCTCCAGAGAACCAATTCCCCTTTTCTCTAACTTGTTTGACTCAGCCACACACTTCCCAGTGTGTTGTATCTCTACAAAGACTAATTTTAAAGGAAATATGAAGTGTCTACTGTTGGTAATCATTAGGTAGCACAGATTTCCAAACCAGAATCTTTACAAGTACAAAATATGGAGAAACATTGCAGGGTCAACCAGAAATCTTGAAAGGACAGGGAAAATATATAATCCAGTATTTCTGCTGAACAGAACTGTTTTTGCATGCTACTTCCCTCAGCCTATTCATAAAACTGAGCCCTTGCTTAATTGTCTATTTCTTGTTTATAACCAGCTCTGACTTAGATACAGTTGTCACAGCAACCCCCCAGCTGAAGTCCAGGTCATGTCCATGGCTATGCAGTGACACTGATGCCTCAGGTCTGCCAACGGTACCAACAAAGATGATGCAGGGAAAGCTATTTCTCTCCTCCAGCATCAGTGGCACCACCGTGTCACACACAAAAGAGAAATGTGGATTCCAAGGATGCAATCACTGATTTAAAATATACTAAAACTGCAAAAGATACAATTAACCTCGAGGGATGGGTTGTTTAAGTATGATGAAAAAAATTTTGAATTATTGGCTCCACATTTGTTGGTTCAATAATGTAAGTTCCTAACTCTCAGGTTCTAGGCTGTATATTACATAGTGCACAAAGAAGTCTTACAAAATCATGCAGAACCTTCTTACTCTGCCTGGGAAGCCACTTAAAATGTAGCTTTCCTCAAATCACCAACCTTGCTTTCTTACAAAGGGCCTAACTATCTGTCCTTATCATCACTCCTTTAATGAAAGCACATCTTCTAAAAAGACCAGATAAAGTGTAAGTGTTCCTCCTTACTATAAGAAATTAGCCCATCGCACACCTTCTCAGCGTATGCATACAGATTAGCTTCTCAAATTTGGTAGCTGTCACCTCAAAGAGCAGGATAAAAAGAGTCTGAAAGAATGGAACACAGCTACATTCTGAGGGGAGGGGAAAGTGCACAAGTGTTATCGAGGCCTAGGTTCAGTGAAGGGACCAGAGCCTCGGGGAGCCACAGGAGCAGGTGTGCAGGCCCGGGGCCAGGGAGGGACTTCACACATCCCATGGGTGCAGGCACAGTCCTAACTTTCCTTCTTACCAACCTTCCTGCTACAGAACAGGACCAGAACCTGTCCTCACCCAGCTCACGGGAGCTACCTAGGGCAGAGGCAAAGCGATGCTGTTCTTGTCCAAATGCTGCTTCAGTCTAGAAAGCACAGAACAGATAATGTAGGACTACATGGCAGTAAAAGCAACACTGCCACTTAAAGAGTGAGCCTGCCCTCCCTAATACCGGGCATTTAAGCAACAGTGTTGGGAACAAGAAGACAGGCAAAACGCCTGTGGCACCAGAAGCTGATACCCTACCTCAAGGTGCTGTAATAGATACTCCACTATTGCTAAGATAAGCTGCTCTGTTTACTAAAAAACTAGTACGCAATTTCAGAACTACGGTAATGACTCTCAGTTTCTAGAGTGAAACTGTTTAAGTAAAGACAAGTAAATAACATCAGGTGGAAGTAAACATCGGGAAATTCAGTTCACATGTTGGCGAAAGAGGAAGGGACAAACATCAGAACAGGCAGCATTACGTATGCTCCCTGCAATAATGACAACAGTGGCTATTACGTTTGTGATAATACCAGGTACTCAAATGACTCTAGCAGGTGGGTTCTCGGGCCATTTTCGGAACAAGGAAGCAGACCCAGAGAGGTAAAGTGATCTGCCCAACGTTACCTGTGAGCTGTCCCAAGAAAGAGGGAAAGGAAGGTGCCGCAGAGGAGAGTGAAGGGGTTACCCAAAGCACACGGAAACAAAAGCCCCAAATGATGGTGAGTGAATAGTGAGTTAACAACCTCCTCCACCAGCCCTAATATTTTCCTTTTCTGTTTTGATCATAGGCTGAAAACTACTGAAGAAAAAGGTATAAAATTGTTTCACGGAAAGTAGTAACGTTACCTGACATAAATGATCATTTTCAGACCTAAATGATCAATTGCTGTCATATTGGCATTTACCAATAACCTGACTATGGCCTCAGTGACATAATGCCGCAGTATTGTCGCGTAACTACACAAGTTCGCACTCATAATGGGAAGTCCTAGAATAAGGCTTTCTTTGAGACCCTAAGATCTAAATGACAAGTAAATTTAGCTGTGGAAATAACCAATGTTCAAGGTGCCTACAGATGATGAACACTCAGTGTCTATCATCCCAGTTAAGAGTTTTCACAGAGGCTGTTCCCCCTCCAGTCTCCCAAAAACTCAGTGATTCACCTGCACGGAATGCAGGAGTTGCACCTAACGCTTCGTCAGGAGAGAAGCTGGCTAGGAGGATGTATGGGTTTTCTAAGCACCACACCGAGCAGCAAGGAGAGGCAAAAATGCAGTTCTGAAGAGCCATACCTAGCTCCTTCTGTATGCTGTCAGGGACTCCTGTAATAGTCTTTCTCCTTTTGACTTTCTTCGGTCGTCTTACCAGAGTGTCTGTGTAAATTAGAGACCGCCGAAGGCTGGCCTGGCGATCGAAATTCTCCCCTAATGTAGAGCAGTAGAACAAGCAAAGCAATGTTATTTTCAAGCAAGCTGACACCATGCACTTTCTTCCAGAAGCTCGTTGTAATATGGTAAGAAGGTATTAATAATGATGTTAGCCAGTCACATGATGAATGCTGAAGGGCGTAAAAGGAAGGAATGCACATTATCATCAGAAGGCTGCTTTCCAATTTCTAGGTGCGCGTCCTTCTCCAAAGGACGCATCTTGATCTCATTTTCTAACAGGCCGGAATAGCAAATGGGAATTTGTTATTAACATACCGAGAGAGTGATTTTGTTATTTTAAAAATGCGGCCGTTTGGAAGTGTTTCACACAGGTCTCTGCTCACTGAAATCACTCTTTATATCAGCACGTCTGTGGTGATGGTGACAGGTATTTTATTTACCTGGTCATCACACAGGGACCGATATCATATCAGGTCAAGTAATTTAATCAAGATCCACAGCTTCTTCTTCAACCAAGAGGCTGACAATTTGCACAGACTCTGGAAATTGTGATAGTGTGACATACAATTTTAATGAAAAATGAAAAGCCTTCTAATGACAAAGTACTTTCGTCACAATGAGACGCTGTAGCACTGCTCTTAATCAAAGCTGAACTGCTTCTCTGTTTCATGACCACCGTTTAATGTTAGTCTTAACTCAGCCAGAGCCAGACCCACAGGACTTCTTTTCCTCCCTAGAGTGTAAGTCTGTGTGATAAACACGCCATGGGAAACCATAAAAGAATAATGTTTTTAGCACTACAAGTTACTGATTGGTCTGATTAAATTATTGCTAATTTGGTTAAGGAAGTTTTATAGCATTGACTGTTTTACATGGTTACTCTCCCCCCAAAAGAGAATAATATATACAATTATATAGACAAATCATATCTCCATCATTTTTATGCACAAGGAAAGTACAAAATATTCACTCTATTTGCAGTGGCTCTGTTGTGGACAATATAACTTCTGTTTTGATCATAGTAAATTGTGACCCTTATCTAACTAAAGCAAAAGAAAGGTCTGAATGACCCAAACACATTTCTCCTATGGAGGAACATATTTTATGCAAGCATAAATAAACGCTTGCAACCTTGCAAATTCTTGCAACTTTGTCTCAAATAGAGAATAACAGGACTAATTGAGAGACGAGCCTAAAACACCAGAAGGTACCACTGCTGTGACAAATGGGTCACTTATGTGTAGTAGCACACACGAGGCATACAGGGGGCAAGTCATGACTTCAGTGGTTCATTAGTTCTCTGGAGAAGCAGGAAATAAAATTCCCTGTCTCAGGACATTAAGAATGACAATACACTAACAGAAAGTTGTATTTAGTCTTCAGTTTTGCTTCCATAGCAAAGACAAAAAATAAATCCACTTAAATCCCAAGGAAACGAAGAAATAAACCAAATGAGGGTGAATATCTACAACATTCACCATGAAAAGCATTTGCATCACAGTCTAAAAGGACTATCTCAGCTGGGCATGGTGGTCCACACCTGTAATCCCAGCACTTGGGAGGCTGAAGCAGGAGGATCGCTGTGAATTCAAGGCCAGCCTGGACTACACAGTGAGTTCAAAACCAGCCTGCACTACATAGCAAGACCCTGCCTCAAAACACAAACAAACAAACAAATATACCAAATAAAAGGACTATCTCAGCTGCTGGATTATACATTTTTGAAGGCAGACAGCATGAATCTCGTCCCTTAGGATCTTCTATGGCACTCTCCTGATACCTTGCACAAAGCAGTTACTTAGCAAACATCTGTTGGATTGAATCACTCTGAAAAATGGCACTAGTTCGTCATGGTTACCACTTAGATAAAGGCAGTTCAAACACTAGCCAGTTTGTAAAAATCATTGAAGTGTGATTCCTCCCTACACTCATCATCCTGGTGGAAGACTTATTATCCCACATGGTGAGTTATGGAACATATTTATATGTTTTTTTAATTTTAAACTTTTGTTTTCTGCTTAACTTTTAGAACATGGTAAGTCCTCAAGGCATTACCCCTAAAGGGATTAAATCCACTTTCTAGTTCATTACCATGATGTTCTACACCTGGTGGGCTTCACTCTGTATTTGAAGCAATATATTTATGGGCAATTCTTTCTCCCTGGGGAGAGAAACTCACCCAAATTATTGAGTTCATGACAATTTCCTACAAGAAGTTACATTTTTTTATCTAAAAAACCTACTGCAACTTTAGAAATATATAATTTGAAGAGCAAGAAGGTGTATAACCTATATCAGTTCAAATATCAAAAGGAAAATTTTTAAATTTTATTGCTTCTTTTTGCCAGCTTAGAAAAATGAGTCATTTAAGAAATATGTGCATGTGTGAATACACAGATCCATAAAACAGAGTAATACATGTTACTGGATATATTTAATTCTGATATTTCTGCAAAATGTTAACCACTTAATTAAAAATAAATTACATTTTGACATAACTCCACTGCTCATTTCTCTACTGTTAGACCCCTTTCTTAGGTGGCACTCATCAAATAGGAGAGAATTAAAACTCAAAGATATGATGTTGTCATCTATTTTTTATTTTTAATTTTCACTATCTTCTATTGTGATGATCTATTTCATTGTAAATAATTCTGTATTCTTGAAATGCTAGTTACTCTATTTTAAGTAAGATAATGTTTCACCATAATTCCACTAAGGATTATTATATTTCATAGCACAATAATCTAATAATATTATTTCTGAGGCATTAAGTCAGATATAACATGACTACTTCGGCATTTAATCAATCAAATAGTATAATTTATTCTCATAGAAAACATGTGCCTATGCATTTCACCAAGCAATAAATGCCATAGTACATACTGAAACATATCTACTTATAAAAATAATCTTTAAAAAAATGTGAGCTAAGTGAAGGAGAAACATGCTCATGAAGAGAACCGAGCCATTTATAAAGACAATGGATTAAAATGCCACACTATTTCTTTAAGGTTTAAGTGAAATAAATGTGAAAAAATATAAATGAAATAGAAAAACAATTCATGTACTTATTTAACTTTACACGGAATCCAATGAGTTCTAAACGTAATTTCTAAATATCCCGTTAAGGTTTTTAAAACATGTTCAAGATGTCATTCATTAGCCTTTACCAGCCACCAATGTCGTGGCAGAAAGCTTTCTATACCGCAGTAAAGAAAGCAAGGGTGCTATGACGTTTCGTTCCAATTGTGAATGAAAATCGTCCTTTTTGGTCCCCCAATTTGACTACCAAGGACAACTATTGCTCATCTCTTTCTGTAGAACACAGAGTCAAACCATTCACACTACTGTCTCTCGTTTGTTTGTTTTTGTCTGTTTTGGTACTGCCGATGGACTCCAGCCCGAGCCCGACTGTTCTCCATCCACTTTACCCAGCCCTTATTAAAGCCGAACACACCTATCTTGCCCTTTGTACTTGGCCAATTCTCTGTGGAGACTAGAGCTAGAGAAATGGTGAAACAGGCAGCTTTTCAGCATCTTTTTAATAGCTCTTCTAAGTCTGTGAAAGATCAGCTTTTTTTGTCTGTTGTTTGTTTGTTTGTTTGTTGTTTCTTGGATCGAACTCAGGACCTTGTGTTTGCAAGGCAGGCAGAAGTTTGAGCTTTATATACCTTGGCGTCTGTGACTTTTTCACAAATTATTAAAGGTTGACTATAAGATTCCATAATTTCACATTTGATAATACACTCTAACTTAACTTAACATATTCTGAAATTGTTTATTCTATGCAGGGTAGATTCTTATGTGAAGACTGAGGAAATGAAATTATAAAAATCAAAATATAAAACAATCACTATGTTAAGGTTTTTAAAATATATTTTTATAGCTATTCATCCTCTTGATATTTTTATTTCAAGAATTTTTCCCTTTTTTTCTATTTGAGAAAACAAGAAGTTAAAACAAAATCTGTCAGAAGCATCACAGAATAATTATTTTTTCACTTCTATAAATATTACTTAAAGGAATATTTTAGAAGGGAATATAGTTTTTCTTACCCAGGCACATTTAGAAAATGCCCCTATATAAACAAAATCAGATTAAAAAGCAATTCAATTTAAAAAGGCATGCTTTAAATGAATGTTGGACTCATCAAGTTCCTTGACACCATTCTCGGTGATGACAGTCGTCTGTCCCAACAAACAACAGATATTTTATGTGCATCTGTGTGTGCAGTTTTGACAGTCCCTTCAGAGAGCAGGAATTAGGACCATACCTATTCCCTCCGACCTGGAAATGAAATGCTAACGGCATATAACCAACCAAAAGCCACGGTCCTTCTCCCCACGAGCACCTGCCCAGCAGCACTTACCAGTTATGTTGATGGGCACCACGTCGGCCTGCACTGCTTGGGCCTGCTGTCGCATCTTCTCTTCTGGCGTTGGCAGCGGCAGTGACTTGGTCCAGTTTGTCTGAGTATTAAGGTCAGAGAAGTCACCTGAGGTTGGCGTTTTCGGTCTCCTGATGCCAGTGGGTTTTTCCTCCTCTGATGAAGAAACAGAACACTGCAGAGAATAAAGAAGTCACCATGTGTAAAGAGCTGGAAGGAACATTGAAAACTACACTTTATTTTTACAGTTATTCTGTTTTAAAGGAAGCCAAGAATTGATCACATTTAAGAAGGAAAGCAGTGGTTTGGGAGAAAACTGCTTATTCTCTTGAGCATGACCCATAATACACAATTCATCTAGTCTTGGTCTATAAATTGTGAGGACTGAAGAAGGCTTTGCTGACCCACAAAATCTTTTACGTGCTTCTAGTTTTTCCTATCTTTGCCATGGTCAGAAAGCTTATGGATTTAGCCTAACATTAGAAAGCTAGAGAAACATCACTGCGGCAAACATCAGTTTCCATTTTTATTAAAATTTTGTTTTCCTCAAAGTAATTTCTAGCCTCAACCTTATTTCCTCTGGGCTCTGACCTCAAGGAACATTTTTAGAACGATATAGTTATTGTTGTTCAACTATTTGTGCTCTTCTGAAACTACCTATATGGGGAAAAAAATCATTGTGAAATTGCTAAACTACAAGAAGCTGACAAAAGCTGTACTCTCGGCCTTATCAGAATGTCATGAAAATATTTCTAGCAGTGCCTGTTTTGATAAAGATTAACATCCATACCTTTCTTTCCACAATACCTTAAAAGTAAGCACTAAAGTTGTGCTGGCATTTTGTGAGGGACTTTATCATGGCTCCTTGGTAGCTAACTCCGCAACAAAGAAATGCCAAGAACTCAAAATCAATGCAACATGCTTAGGGTCAACAAGAATGGGCAACTGGCTGTGTTGGGAAATGGCAGCACATGACACACAATAAATGTAAGAACTGGCCCGGGTGTGGTGGTGCATGCCTATAATCCCAGCATTCGGAAGGCTGAGGCAGGAGGATCGCTATGAGTTCCAGACCAGCCTGGTCCCATAGTGAGTTCCAGGTCAGTCTCATCTACAAAGTGAGACCCTGTCTGAAAAACAAACAAATGAAACAATAAATGTAAGAACTACTCTTCAAGTCTAAAGCACTGCAACTGAGCTGCCACTGATGAAAGTAAGGCATTTAAGAATTTTACTGAAGGAGAAAGTCAGTAAATCTTCCCAAAGGGAAGCTTGGTATAACCAGTAGCCAGATCCATGCAATCTGCTCCAGGCCATTCATCCCCAACAAGGGTAACTGCTATTGAGATTTCTAACCCCACAGCTTTGTTTGGCCTATATTTGAACTTTCTATGAAGGAAATCATACTGTCTGTTCTCTCTGACTTATGCTTGTAGGGACTTCTCTATCTTTAAAACATTTACAGTGGTACCTCAGTTCACAAAGACTTGTTTGCATACACTATAGAGTTTGGCAAAATTTTATTTTCATTTGCAAACTCTGCATTGGGTGACAAACACTACTGCAGCCATCTTTCCTGCACAAACACAAACGTGGCCAGCTTTTCCAAGGTCATAGAACAAATTAAGTTTGTGAACTAAGGTACCATTACATTTTGATGCCTTTCTGGGTCTAAAGCAAACTTCTAAGCGGGCACATGGAAGAAATGTACGGAAATCCATCTGTTGAGTTTAAACAGAAGAATGCTGTCAACACTCTTTGCTGCTACTGAGTTTGAATTGCTGAAAAATATCTGTATTTATCCTACAATTGCTAGCACTTCACAAATCTCGAAAAGACTATAGGGATAATCCCCCAGGCTAAGAATCCGAAGGCCTGAGTATGTTCCAAAAACCTTGATGCTTGCTGTAAACAGGGGCTCCACCACCCACCTGCTGTACTCACAGAAGTACTCTGAGGACTTAGTGGCGATGTCTGACTATTAGGTACTAGAGGTAAGTGGGTGGTAATCATATAAATATACTTATGCTTGTATACAGAAGACATACAAAATGATCATCTAGTTTTTTCACCCAGGGGACATCTGAAATGATTGTTATGAAAGGGACAAACACTTGATTTACAAACTGACATTTGTAACCGATATATTATGACACTAAATTGAGCTCTATCCACTCATATTTGATCCGATTCTGGATACAAGTTACCACTCACACAGATCCTTGTAAGACAATCAAAGGGATTTCTGAAGTAGCAGCAGCCAAGCCACTCACTGATGTAAACTGATTACTTCCAGTTTCTTTGCAGCTGTGACATCATTAAGTTTGCTTCATGACACATATTCTCTGTCCTTAAGGTTCACACACACAAATCAAAATTAATTTCATTTGAGAATTTCATGGCAATCTGTACAGAAGTCATCTGTCTGAGGCTGAATCTTACTCTAGTAAATTGGAAGATCACCCTCATTTTCTGAGACATACACAGAGAAATAATTTTTCAGGCAACCTTGAATATCAGCATAAAAACCGAAGGCAGTGAGAAGCAAAACTAGGAGGAAAGGGGCAGCTCCAGGGTGACTGGGAACAGAGCAGTGACCCCCTGTAGTGAGGGCTCCTTTTCCTGGTGAGGTCCTCATCTCTAAGGGCACAGCCGGAAGCCCTGCCCTACTCCATGTTTCTTTTAGTTGGCTGATAATGTCAGAAATGATAACTTTCACAAACAACACTTTCTCCTAGTCCTGGTTGTCATGGGATGTCACTTGGGACTGCTATGGTTTGACAACAAAGAAAATCTTTTTATGAAGTGCTTACTTCTCTTGCAAGAGAATTTCGCAGACATGCAGTGCCTAGTTATATGCAGATGTGATTGTTAGTACCACAATCCACTACGGGAAAAGACAGCACGGAGGACACTCAGAATGGCACAACTCCCATGCCTCTTGCTGTTTATAACACAAAACGGCCACAGGATGAACCTGCTGCGTGTCAAAGGCACAGTGCATCACGACTCCTGAATGTCTGCATCCCCAGTGAGCCCCAGGGGCATGTGTTGGACGCTTGCTCCCCTACTTGGTGGGGCTGTTAGGGGTTAGGGCCTGGTAGAAGGTTTTTAGTCACAGAGGTGGGGAGCTGCCCTCAAACAGGAGAACGGGATCCCGTCCCCTTCCACCTCTGTGTGGTGCCCTGGCCATAAGGTGGGTAATTTTGCAAAGCCACCAGCTCCCACCATGATGTGCTGCTCCACCACAGGGCCAAAAGCCATGAGGCTCAAAAGACCATGGACTGAAACTCCACAAGTATGATCCAAAAAAAAACCGTTTCTCTCTCTCTTTTTTTTTTTTTTTTTTGTACTGGGGATTGAGGGTCCTTGCACTTGCAAGGCAGGCCACTGAACCGCTGAGCTAAATCCCTGGCCCAACCTTTTCTCTTTACATGTTAACTATTTCTGGTATTTGTTACAGCAATAGAAAGCTGACTAATACAATAAGAGCACACTATGGGTTCTTTCACTAGCTTCCTCACTGGTCTGCACGCTTCTGTCATGGCTGGCTACCATCCCCTACTACTTCCCTTCCAATAGTCTATTCTCAACACAGCACAAAGAGATCTTTTAGAATGTGTCAGAATATGTTTATTCTGTCCTTACTCTGATCTGCAAGACCCTCCTTGATCTACAGACTGGCCTACTGTTCTCTTTCCAACCACACCACCCTCTGGGCTGTTCCTCCTACAATCGATGTATACTTCCTCCTTGGGGCCATTGTACTTGCTACCCCCCATCCCGCTCCTTTAGACAACTGCCCAGGAAGCATCCTCTTTATCTCAAAAATTTACCCTACAGTCCCTTTAATCCAGAAGTGAACAAGGAAGAGCCTGTTCACCCTACTTAGTTTCAACTTCTTCCGGATATTATAGCCCCCTTTCCTGCTTCTTTTTTCCTCTTTAGAATGTATCAGTAGTGTTATGGCTTGTGTCTAGATTGTCTCCCAAAGCCGCATGTGGTCATAGGTGGGGCTTCTCAGAGGTGGCTTGCTCTAGAGTGTGTGATGCTGGGATTAAGGGTGTGTGGTTATTAAATTAGTCCACTGATTGGTTTGGTATAGTTCTGGGTTCAGTTAAGGGTGTTACCTGCTGTCTGTCCTCTGCTTCCCCTCTGCCGTGCTGCCCTGCCTTGGAGCCAGCCAACTGTGGACTGAAACCTCTACAAACGCTGAGCCAAATGCCTTTTCTCCTTTAACTTTGGGAGTTGGGTATTTTGTCTCAGCAATGAGAAAGGTAACTAAAACAATTAGTAGTCATATATTTTCTTTATTTGTTCTCCTCCAAGAAACTATATAAGCATCATCAGAGGCTTTATTCAGAATTGTACAGAAAGCTATTTCAGAAGTTTATTTTTAGAAAGTTCACGATTCAGTAACCGATAGCTATGTGCCTTGCCCTGGACTGTAAGCTTTGCAGTGATGATCTCACTTGATCCTCACGGAGTTGGCCTTGCTTCATAAAGAAGAAATGGAGGCTCGGAGGAGGAAAGTAACTTTACTTTTACTTTTGAAGAGTTCCTACATGGGAAGTTACAGCTAGAACCCAGAACTGACCCCCAAAACTCTGCTATGAAACAGTGTAAAACAACCACTTGCCAAGGTTTATAACGAACAACTAGGTCTTCTGACCTAAAGGTAAAATTGTTTATATCTCTGAATAAGAACCAAACCTTTAAAAACCTATAAAAGGCAGCATTGTGGTGTTGGCAGATGGAGTCAGTGCGGCAGACATCCTGGCGCTGTCATTTACCAGCTGTACCTCTTGAGCAACTCAATCTCCCGGTGTGGGGAACAGAACGACCCAAGCAGTGCTGATGTGTGTGCCTCACACCAGTGAAATCCTTCAGAATAAGGGACTCTCTTTTTTCCTTCCTTTTTAAATACTGAGTTTAACACACCTTGCATTCAGAAGTGAAATGCAGTTTTTATATCTGCCAGTTGGTTAGTAATATTCAGCAATGAACCAACCACATGTTGGTGTGGGAGAGGATGGAGGGTCACAAAGAATTCCCCGTGACACAGAGCTTGACTTCCCATGACACAGGGCGATGGCTGCATCAACAGCCGTCACTTTGTGGCTTTTGGATTTGCAAGTGAGAGAGCAGCAGATTCCACTGGAAATCGGGCAAGCT